ATTTAAAGTACTCATCTGAAGCGTCTCGTCGCGTTCTTTCGTTTGCCGCCTCGTGCGTTTCGCTGCGCCTTTTGGTTCTCGAGTTATCGGCTGGGGGCGTTTAACGCCCCCCCCCCCCCCCCAGCAAACGGTGGGTGGCGAAATACCCCAGCAACTGCCGGGTTATCTCTCCCCCTCCCACCCACGCTCCCTCTCCCTCGCTCTCTCCGGCATCTGTCTGCTCTCGCCCAACGCCTCTTAGCCGGGGGCCGCTAAGCTGCCATTTAAACTTTCGCTTCGCAGGAATGATATTCCTTCATTTCGTGGGTTTTTCTCGTGTTTTTAGCGTTGTATGTATGTATGTATGTATATATTGACACCAAAAGCCTTCCACATATGGCGTGGCGGCTTAGATCCGAGTATAATGGGTAACAATCATGCGGACAGGGGAAGAACACTCAGCACTAGACGACAGTCATCCATCGATGGGGTCGCGACAATAATCATCTACATATGTACATAAGACAAACAATATACATACATAAGCACAAACAGATCGTCCATCTATTGGCGGCATGCCTTGTCTACTACTAAATCTCGTCAGCGGCGTAGCGGGGATTTGTTAATCAGCGCGGCCCTGGCAGACCGGGCGAAGCTGGCAGGTGGCAGCTGCACTACCTGGGGTGGGAGGCTATTCAATAGCGCCGCGGCGCGGTACTCAAAACGCCGTTTTCCGGTTTCAAGCCTCGGTCGGGGAAGATGAAGGAGATGATCCTGCCGTGTGTGCCTGTCTCGAAAATTTTGGTTGGGGACGAACCAAACGTAGCTACATGGTGTTGTACCCAAGTCGAGTGCATGCCTGATTCCAAGAAGGTCACTACCGAGTCGGGATCGGTGGGAGGTGGGGGGGGGGGGTGAGGTCATTGTTCGGGTGACCTGTCAAACAGCCCCGGCACGGTGGGACGCTACAGGAGGCAAAAGACGCACTCCCGCACTTCTTTTCGCGGTTTCTCGATAATTATAACTAACGACCATAAGCCAGCTTATCATAGCCGATCGTAAACCTCCCTCGTGGCTCAAACTACACATGCTTTCCTTCTTATTGGAATGCATTAACAATATAGAGCACAAAACCATTCTGATCTCCACACGCATGAAAAGGCTAATTTAGTATGGCTCAATCTCGAACTAACGTCGCATTAACGTTGCTAACCACGCTTCGCTGAACTGACCCAGAGTTGGAGTTTATGCATGAAATGTACACCCAGGTTAAATGATGCGCGGTAAAACCATTAATAAACAGTCATTTTTTAACATAACCCTAGCCTGCGGCGGCCAATTTTCACACGATTGAGATCAAATGTTTATAAACATGAGACGAGCGCTTCTTACTTGACAGGCTATTCAAGACAAATGATCATTTTATGTTTATAAGCATACAAACAATCCAACATTCCAACACAAACAGTATTGACAAAAAACAACTCAGTGTTGACCAGAAAAGATGCTTTTGCTGTCACAACTCATCCCAGTGCGCCTACAGGGTGACTTAGCGTTCTATGAGATCTGAGCCTGCATTAGCATTTTAAACGTGTGCAGCCTTTCTGCTAGCCTGCGTAAATATTGGCGCCATATCAGTCTTTCTAAATACTGATACGTGCGTGTGCCAGTGAAAAGTAAGCTGAGTTGAGTACTTGATGCATGATTTGTAATATAAAAATCACCCATGCCACAGGTACCCCACTCTCCCCTGCTTCACCGTCATGCTCCATGCAGTTGTTATGTTTAACTTTTTTGCAAAACAAGTCCTCGTATGAAAAGATGAATATCATCATCGAGTTCTGCGCCTAAACGTTTCCATAAAACATATGTCATATGTCACGAATGCTCATTTTGCTTATCGGGAATATGTTCTTACCTGACTGACCCGACATTGACCCTACCTATGCAACTGGCCTGCATAACTTTGCATACTTGTGACACTGTAGCACTTAACTAGATGGAAGATTCTGCACAATCCTGACAGAGTTTATGACAAGAGACGCTCAATACGAGTTTCCTAAGTCCATGCTACTGAAAGCCCAACTTCAAATGTTTTACCTGACTTTGGTCCCGACCTGTGATCTCAAAAGTCATTTTTAAAGTTCTCAACAGAAGTGTCCCGTCCGTGGCGTCGTTCTTTCGTTTGCCTCCTCGCCCGTTTCGCTGCACCTTTCGGTCCTCGAGCTATCCGCTGGGGGCGTTTAACACGTTTAACCCGCGCACCGACGGGGGTCTGCGCCAACTTAGTACCGACGGGGGGGGGGGCGGATGACCGCCCCCCCCTGAGATCTCGAGAACGAAGCAAGATAGCGACAAGCGGTAAACGGCATCGGATACGCACGGTCAAGATCTACAATTTTTACTAAGGTCATTTTCAGGTCAGGTCAAAGATGACGTCACAGGGGTCGAAAAAGTCAAAATGGCGGCGCTAAATATGGAGAGAGTTTTTCTCGAATAACTTTCGAATTAGTCAAGATAGGAACAAACTAAGGGCATCATCGTGATCCTCTCGTCAATCCGCATCGAATGATATATATGTTGACCTCGAAAGGTCAAGGTCAAAGGTTGACCTCAGGTCACGTGACCTCGAGGTCATCATGTATATCATTCGATGCGTCTTGACGAGCTGAACACAATGAGACCATCCACGCGTCTGTATCTTGTTCCTGTACGGAGTTATTGGCCAAAAACCTTTGGTGACCTTTGATGACGTCACATGACCTCACAGCTGCCCAACATTAAAACAGACCTCAAGGTAGTGAAGGTTGATCGTATATGAAGTCATGTATGGTATATGGGGCCATTCCGACCCGTTTTAGTGGTAAAAACAGGGAGTTGATTTTTCCCCCATTGACTTATAATGGGGAGGTCGCGAAATTGACCTGACCTTAGGTCACCGATATCAAAATTCCGAGATATACAAATTGTAGCTACTAATGACCTAATAACATCCTGCGACTTTCAAAGGCCTCCAACATCTACTGTAGCTCTGGCACGGTGACAAAGTTGCAAAAAAGTGACTTGAGGTTGGGTTATTCAAAGTGACCTGGTGACCTGACCTTGAAAGGTAGGAGGTTCAAACTTGCACACCATGTGTAAAATTGATGAGGGAATAGTCATACCAAATTTCGCGGCGCTACGCGCCGCGGTTTTCCCGCTATTCGCGAAAAACCTCAGGGGGGGGCGGATATCCGCCCCCCCCGTCGGTGCGCGGGTTAATAAATATACTGGATTGACATTAAAAAACACTCAACCTCTTCCCCCCCCCCCCAACACCACTCACCCAGCTAGTGGTGGGAGGCGAAATACTCCAGCAACCTCCGGGTTAGCCCGACCTGTAATTCATTGCCAGCACTAAGGACCATTCAGTTAAATTTCCCTATCTCCTAGAAATCATTTGACTGATCTGTCTAGCGCGACTTGAATTCCTAAAATTAGCCTAGTAGGGTAGTGTGTGGTAATTTGAACATATTTTTATGTCTTCTCCGTTGTACCAAATTCCAGCTCAACCCTGGATGAAGAAAAACTGTTTCTGTAGCGCATGTGTCACTTGCTTTCACCATGTAAGCATCATTTTTGGACGAGCCGAGCATACCTTGAATAGCATAGCATCACTTCTCCACCAAGTCACGGTGTGTTCAAATTGCCCCACCGTGGGGTAATTTGAACATACTGCCTTTATCTGCCATAAAAACGATAGTCTCGCCAGCACCGATGTTGTTTGACCCATAAACGAATAGACAGAGCAATTCTAAACATAGCTTCATTTGAAAAAGCAACACAACAACAAAAATAACAGTTGCAGAGTATCAATATCTGCACGCTGCACACCGGTCAGTTGACAGAATTCGCCTCTCTTCAATGAACAGAACGTCTATCATCTCCGTTCGATAAAAACCCTACCAAACCTTACTTCATCTGTTATAGTGGTGCCAATCGGAACCTGGACATTCGGAGTTTCAATTCTTTATATTGTCCAATTCGGAATTGATTGCACAAAGGTATAGTAGTCTGGACAACATTGGACGATAGCCTGCCACACTTAAGCATTTTCATCAAGTAATCGTGCGTAGCATTGATTGGCGAATGGAAAGCTTGTTAAGCTCTCAATATAATGAACACCTTTCGGCTGGTAAAATTACATGATAAGCAATATAAATGACGGTTTTGAGTGTTGATAGCTGCATAATTTTCGGACATATTTGGACAAATAATTGATTTTAACATTTTTTTTTTTTGGACGGAAAATCAACGAAAATGCCGGACATTAGACGGATACTAGACGTAAATTTTCTAAAACTGGCATCACTTATCTGCTACTGCTCTGGGTCGAAAATATTGGCAAAAAAAAGCCTGGGAGCGTTGTTTTTCGGAGCTATCCCTGTCTTCATTGAAATTCTCACACTATTTTCAAATTACCCCACGCTAAAAGTTATTTCGCCATTTTTAATAACAGGGTTCAAAAGCAAATTTCTTGGATTGAAGGCACTGATTAGGTCATTGTACAACAAAAGCCGTTGCGTATTAGGCGCTAGCAATGCAAGATTTTGCGCTGCAATGAAGTTGCAATGAAGTGTTGTTAGGCGTTTTTCCTTGCGAAATTGATTTTTTACACTGTGCGTCAACATCTTCATTCCCTGAAACTTTAAACCCCGTTCATATGATAGCCCTTTTGGTTACGATAATTTCTCTCATTGGTCTTATTGTCATGCCACTTATGGATTTTCCGTAATTTTGTGTTATTCACACTATGTTCAAATTGCCCCACATGTTCAAATTACCCCACCCTACCCATATAATTTCCGATATGGCGGAATAGGTCAAAACTCTCCCCGTTCGGCATGAGCGCGCAGTTCCCTGGAATAGCCCGTATCGGTTGAGGACATCCTTGGCGGGTATACGTGACGTCACCGAGCCCGCGAGTTTCACAGAGCGGTCCATCCCTACTCGGCAGTCGTTGTTGGGGCGGGCTGGGTGTGGGACCTCCGGCTGGTCCGGGTGCTGTTCGAAATGACGTCATACCGTACTCTGATTTGTCGGCATCGACGGCTAGCGTTAGTCGGTTGGCTGATGCACTGCACTGCACTTATTGTTATAGTTACGAGGTAAGTGAATATGTTCATTTTGCATTGTTAGCCAGCTGGGGATCATGGATTTCCACGCCCTTGGGGATGGTGGTTTACCCCCCCCCCCCAGACAATCAGTGGCACAATTATGCGCTTTAGTTTAAACCCTTTTGGCTCGCCTCCTGGGCTACGTAGCGATAGGCGGAAGGCGGCGTTTTAATGAGTGTTAAAAAATAATGACGAAACTACGTGTACATTTTTTAGTCAGGTCAAAGGTTAGGTCACTGAGGTCATTAAATGCCAAATTTCGCCTATTTTCTTGTCGAATGTCGACAATTTTAACCCTCGCCCGTATGGGGGGTCGAACGGACCCCCCCCCTAGGTTTTTCGCGAATAACTCGCATAAAAAGCGGCCGATCGCGACGAAACTTTCATACCCTCGAGTTGATCAATTTTACACCTACCCTGAAAATTTCATGACCCTGACCCAAATGACCTTTGACCTGTGACCTACTTTTCGAGACCAAGTTTGGCCGGAATCGCGATTCAGCGTATGTCGGCTCGCATTAGCCGCGCGTTTGAAGTCTTTGCGTGGTTACAAGCATTCAAACATGTGATATGATGTTGCCCCCATGCATTAGGGTGGGTGTCAAGGTCACCTGAAGGTCAGGTCAGGTCATTGACCTTTGATGACCTCGGTTCACTTTTTCGAGTTTTGCATGTTTCTAGGCCAGTTTTTGGAGCTGAATTCGAATTTAGCAACCATATGAACCATACGAAGTAGTTTTGGTGCCTTCGTAACATGTTACGAAGCTGTCAGAGCCGGTTGACACCTACTACAAATACCCGGCAGGACCCCTACTGATTGACCTGACCTGACCTGACCCGACCTGGCCTAAATGCATGAAGACATCATCTGTGATCAAAATTAGCATGATATTCGTGATCAGCACCCCGAAAAACCTTATAGCAGCCACATTTTACGACGTTCTGACAGGTCCCGATTTTCCCGACTTTTGGGTCATTGACCTGACCTGGAAGGTCAACCAATGACCTAGGACCTTTAAATTGGGTATCATCGGCTTCCTCTCGTCACGGAAAACACGCTCGTTTTTTCCGCGAAGCTCTAGCTCGATCAGGGGCGAAACCGCAAGAATGTCTAGAATAGAATAGAATGTCTAAATTTGGAATGTCTACAAAATACAAATGTTGACTGTCGACGAATGTGGAATATCTAAATGTGGAATCGTTATGGTTCAAATGTGCACGGAGACATGCTAGTGCAGATTGTGTTCTTGGGTGTACAGTAATTGACCACGCCTGATGCCAGGCACTAAAATGTCAACATCAGAAGGGCTTCGGGCATTTTTTCGAGCACATTTCTACGTCACCGGCCCGACGAGATCCGCCCTTTGCTCAAATGCTGCGTCGTTGTGCACATTTACCTTCAGAAGTTACTGTCCAGAGGAGAGTGAAGGCCTACCTTAGGTTTGCCGACCAATGTTGGGTGTGTACATTTACTTATGTCAGTCCCGTGTTGATCTAGTTGCATTATTCTTTATCATCAATTAGACCGCATGCGTCAGGCATCTTCGCAACGACAGAACAGTAAGACAGTCAGACAACAATAAGACCGTCAACAGACCGACCTTTTTATACCGTAGGTATGTACTCTGCGCTGCAATACATCACCACGTACTGAGTCAGTACTACAGTGGAATCCGCTTAATAAATCCACCTTGGCGACAAGGTGTTTTGGATTTATTAATTAACCCTCGCCCGCACATGGGGGGGGTGGTTGCCACCCCCCCCAGGTAGTCTTTCTGCTCTGCACTCCACATTTTTAGAGCTAGAAGGCTGATTTTTCGTATAGCTGCTCCTCTATCCTTTCTTGAGGTCCACTGAAAATTTCAAGTTTCTGTGATTTTTGGTTTCGGAGATATGACCTTGTTTTTCAGGTCATGTCATGACCCAAATGGCCAATTCTCAACATCTTGCGCCTGCCATGGGCCTTGTGAGCTTTTGACACCCTGATTTCGGCCTTTTTTGCCAGTCTTACCTCCCACCTATCATGGAACATGTTGTTCGACGATGTACAGGGGTCAAGGTCAGGGTCAAGGTCAACCTAGGTCATCTAAGATAATTGCGTTTTAGGCAAGCTGAATTTACTTTTTGTGAAGTTTTTTGACTGCATTTTTGGTAAAAGCTTCTCAGATCATGATTTCATGTAATATGGACCCAAAAACAATCGGTGCACACATCAGTATACACACAGACACACACAGACATACAAACACATATAATTGACCTTGACCTAACTTGACCTGAAATGACCTCAGCAGCAAAATTCTGGTCGGGTAGTGTGACAAAGAGGTTCTAGCTGGCTTGGCACCAGAAAACAGCATCGTCATCGGTATTTGATAAGCAGCGCACTTGATATCCAACGGTGACCCAAAACAGCAACATTTTTTAGTTTGACCTGACCTGGAAGGTCAATGACTGACCTGAGAAGGTAAAACTGGGTATCATTGGATTCGTCTCTTCCCAAAGAATCTTTTTGGTCTTTACCGCTAAGCTCTATCTCCAACAGGAACGAAATGGCGCGGGGGGGTGGCAACCACCCCCCCCATGTGCGTTCTAGGATGGGAAAATGGCATGTGCGGGCGAGGGTTAAGCGGCGGCTTCATAAACCGGAGTCAGTTATTTTCATTAAAAAAGCATGTATCGCAATTCGCAGCTGCACGTTCCGTTTCCCTGCAATGCAAGCGTATAGGCTTACATTCCTCATTACCTTACTTATTCCAATAAAAGTGACCAGGGGCTTCGCCACCGGTGGGGTCGTGGGGGTCTGGAGTCGGACCTCAATAATTTGACTTTCGTAATGCAGCCTAATATGCAAAGGCCTGCGTTTTAGGGTTGGACACCCCCCCCCCCCCCCCACCTGCGACCGTAGTGGAGCCCCTGAAAGTGACCATCCCATACTGCAAAGCTGTTACAGCGGTGAAGTCAACCTATCCATCCACGATCACTCCCTGCCATGCTTGCTACGCCAACGAAACAGTCGAGCGTGCCTGCTTTGCCGGGAACATTTCTTTGAGATGCATGATGATTGCGCTCTTGATAGCCCTGAACTCCTGTTTTTAGAACCAACTGCTGCACACTGCCATGCTCCAGTGCGGTTCTTTGGGAGCGGGTCGGATGTCACATTTCGAATGGGGAGACGTCACTGCGGACTTCGAAACTCCTAAGTGGCTTTATTAAGCGGAGTACTGGATTTATTAACCCGCGCCCTGCTGGGGGGGGGGGTGTTTGAACACCCCCTTGTGTTTTTTCGCGAATGTACACCTTATCATACATTAATTCTACACATGTTGTGAAAATTTCAGACCAAGGTCATTCAAGGTCAGGTCACCAGGTCACTTGAAGTGACCTCACCTCATAAAAAGTTTCAATGTCTGTCATAGCTACACCGAGTGACCGATTGCTTTGAAACGTTCAGCGATTGCTAAGAGCAATAGCATGTACAATATTTTTATCTCAGAATTTTGATATCGATGACCTAAGGTCAGGTCAATTTTGCGACCTCTCCATTATAAGTCAATGGGAGAAAATTGAAATGCGCCTCTTTTGGACGAAAGACATTATAAACACTCCCAAACACTGAATTACAAGTGGTTTAGACACACTGAACATGAAAATGGTGTCCGTGACCCCTGTTTATGCCCTGAGGTCATCTTAGGTCACGAATGGTATCTAACAGTTTTTCGCAAATAACTTTTGATAGAGGCATGCTAGAGCGATGAAAACGCCTTAGATGTGTTCAGCTCGACGATACAGATCGACTGATATGCAACATGACCCTTTCCGGTCAGGTCATGACCTTGACCTGAGGTCAAATTTTCAAGTTGACCTTTCAAGGTCAAGTTATTGTTCATTCGATGCGTCTTGACGAGAGGAACACGATGCCGGTAAAAGTAAGCTCGTACAAGGCTTGGGTCAAAAGTTATTGCAGAAAAACTGTTTCCGAAAAATCGGTTATTTTTGCAGTTTTTGCCCCCTGCAGGCAAAACCGTTGACGTTAGGTTAGGTCAAATCTGAGAAAATTATTCAGAAAGGGCGTTAATTGGGCTATTGAATGCGCTTTTCCGCGGCGCTGTAGCTCTTTTGGTTCCCGAGTTATGCGTTGGCTTCTTGGAAATTGTCGACATTCGACCTGGAAATCGGCGAAATTTTGCCTTCAATGACCTCTGGTGACCTGACCTTTGACCTGAGCAAAAAATTAACTGATGTGATTTCCTCATTATTTTTGACGCTCTTTCGAACGCCGCCTTCCGCGTATCGCTACGTGGCCCAGGAGCCGAGTTAGAAGGGGGGGGGGGGGTGTGTGTTCAAACACCCCCCCAGCAGGGCGTGGAAATCCAGGACCCCCAGCCGGGCGCGGGTTAAGCGAATTTATTAACTATGGGTATCTATGGAGAAAATCCGTGAACAGCTGAAGCATAAGCGGCTGGATTTATAATCCAAGGATTTATTAAGCGGATTCTACTGTACTGACATGGGGACACGCAATTGTGCACTGTTCACATACATGTGTAATTTATGTGCAACGGACATGTATCCAGATTACAATTTTTGCGATTTAAGTTTTGCGATGTGTTATTTTGAAACAAGCATTACGGTTGGAAGCTGGCGCTGCTGGTTCCGCCAGTTGTCTTCACTAATGACTGCATAGCCTGGCTGATGTCTTCCACTCTCTCCCAGTTTGTTCGCCAGTTTCCAGCCGACGTCTCTGTCCGCCGGCGACACTCTGCCAGCCGGGATGACACCAGCGAGACACCGGGCCTGCAACCGCACCCTGGCCGCCGCCTACCACCGGCTGGCGCCGCGCGAGGAGGGCCCTGACGCCGACAGGTTCAGGAGGCGCGCCTGGGCGCTGCTGGCTGCTGCCGTCAGCGCGTGCAACACGCTGGGCGTGCCCCACTGGCTGGGCAGTGGCACCCTGCTCGGTGAGCGGGGTCAGGGGTGGCTGTAGATGCGGTGTCAGGACGCTCACACCCGCCCCGTAAGGGTCATAAAGCGAATTTCGGAGATTGAAAGGGCATTTTCTTACCCCGTGTTATCTTCGAAACTAGCTAGCTGGCACATTTTCAAGCTTAACCCGCGCCGGGCCGGTGCTCTGAGATTCTGCGCCGGGCCGGGGGGGGGGGTGTGTCTGAACACCCCCTTCTAACTCGGCTCCTGGGCCACGTAGCGACACGCGGTAAGCGGCAATAAAAAAGTCCAAAATAAGGACGAAAGCACTCCAGTAATTTTTTGGGTCAGGTCAAAGGTCAGGTCACCAGAGGTCACCAAAGGTAAAATGTTGACTATTTCAACATTTTGAAATTTGCTAAGGGCTATCTCGGGAACCAATAGAGCTACAGCGCTGCGAAAAAGCGCATTCGATAGCCCTTTTACAGACCTTTCTGAATGATGCTCTCAGATTTGATCTCAGGTCAACGGTTTAGCCTCCAGAGGGCAAAAACTCCAAAAAATGCCGTTTAAAAAAAAACGTTTTTTTTCGGCAATAACTTTTGACTCAAAAAAGCCATGACATTACTTTTGCCAGAATCGTGTTCTTCTCGTCGAGACGCGTCGAATGAACTATAATTTGACCTTGAAAGGTCAATGTGAAAATTTGACCTCAGGTCAAGGTCATGACCTGACCGGAAAAGGTCATGTTGCATATCAGTCGATCCGCAACGTCGAGCCGAACACATCTAAGGCGTTTTCAGCGCTCTAGCACGCCTCTATCAGAAGTTATTAGCGAAAAACTGTTAGATTCTGTTCGTGACCTGAGATGACCTCGGGGACATAACGAGGGGTCACAGTTGCCATTTTCCGGTTCAGTGTGTCCATTTTACCTACATTTCGATGTTTGAGAGTGTCTGGAATAGCGTTCGTGCAAAACAGACGCTTTTCAATTTTCTCCCATTGACGAGTAGGTACCTTTAATGGAGAGGTCGCAAAATTGACCTGACCTTAGGTCACCGATATCAAAATTCCGAGATATACATTTTATAGATAATGTTGCTCTAATCAATCGCTGAAAGTTAGGCAATCGATCAATCGGTGTAGCTATGACGAGCATTCTTATTTTTTCTGAGGTGAGGTCACTTGGCGTGACCTGGTGACCTGACCTAAGGCGACCTGGGTCTGAAATTTTCACAACTTGTGCGGAAAAGATGCCCAAACAGGTGTGCCAAAAACGGCGGCGCGGAGCGCCGCCGTTTTTGAGATATCTGCGAAAAACCGCAGGGGGTGTTCAAACACCCCCGGCCCGGCGCGGGTTAAAATAAAATAAAATTATCATATCACATACCTTCCTGTTGAAAATCCAGTTTTATTGACATCACTGCTATTATGTGAATTGATAGAACGTAAAAGAATGCCAGAATCTGTAACACCTATTGATTTTAAGTCCACGCTGACCGCTGTGACTTATACTTAATCTATGGCGCGGGCCGCGGAGTAATCATGTTACATCCTTGTTTTGTGATTACCTAGTGGCTACCTAGTGTGATTACTTAGTCTTCTAGTTATCTTCGGTTTCACCGGGCTGAGAATGCCTACGAACATTAAGACGAGGGTTGCAGGCCTACATAACTACATAGGCGACCTCTGTACTGAAGCATGCATAATTGCATTACCAACACCTGTAACTGCCATGGAATGTTTGAATTATATTTACGATTGTGACACGTTCCCTTTTTCTTGTAACGCAGGCTACATTCGGCAATGCGACCTGGTGCCAGCCATGGGTGACGTTGATTTAGAAGTGGCCGTGGAACCATTTGTAAATGGTAACGTCACCGTGACCCAACTGGTGGAAATTTTAAACTCTGCCGGACTCCTGTTGGCGTCTAAACTCGGCCGGCTCAACGACAGCCTAGAAATGGCGTTCAAGGACGATGTCGGTACGAGAATCGACGTTTTCTTTTCGTATCCCGACGGAGAAAATCGATATACCGCAGGAGTCGACTTCGATACGCTGAAAAAAATCAGGTGAGAGATTGACAGTTTGCTGTGTGTGGAAGCTTACACTACACTGTGTGGAAGCTTACTTACTGTTTGGAAACTGTGTGTGTTTCCAGGATGTCATTAGCTTTATAGGTGATATCTTACATTATGGGTAGGTATAGGTATGCAGCGAATTCACAATCCTTTTTCAGCCACGCAACGGTCCACCATTGTCAGCATTGTCAAAAGAACTCCCGACAAAACACCTTACAACACGTGCACTCACTACTTATGACAGTTCACCTCCTACCCCCACCCCCGCCCTATTTCTCTCACAGATGGGTGGACCCGGAAATCACGCTCTGCTGGGGCACCCTGCACGGCCTGGTGGTGGGAGTGCCCTGCGACTCCCACGCCTACCTCGAGACCAGCTACGGGCCCAACTGGACACAGCCGCTGCCATCGGGAAGAAACTGGGATTATAGAGTGGACGCTACAAACACGGTTAATGCCGGACAATGGAGCGAGAACGAGAGGAATGAGGTTATCCAGGTATTCATCAAATAATAGTGATCTCATGTAATTGTATATATGTTACAGTTAGTGTGCGAAATCCGTTAGGTTGCAACGCAACTAGTTACGTTGTAAACTACCTGACTGGCCAGGTTGTTTGCAACCTAACTAGTTACGTTGCAAACTAACAGACCGTTCAGTTACTTTGCAAACTAACTAGTTCGGATGCAAACTACCTAGGTACGTTGCAACGGAACTAGTAATGATGCGAAATGGACGGCTCAGTGGCCATAATTGTACATCAATTCCAATGTTAAGTCGCCGGTTGTGAGCGCGAAGTTCTGTGATTGTCCCAAGGGTTGCGCTCAACGTTTCTATTGGTTTAACCTGCGCCGGGCCGGTGGTTGGCGCCAACCGCGCCAGGCCAGGGGTGTTTGAACACCCCCGCTAACTTGGCTCCTGAGCCAGGTAGCGACTCGCGGTGAGCAGCATCCGAAAGAGCGTCAAAGATCATCAAGGAAGCACTCGGTCATTTCTCGGTTCAGTTCAAAGACTGAAGCTGAAAACAATGTTGAAATTAGCAAAAGTTGAGCGTTGATGACATTCCTCGGCTCGACTTTCGAGAACTGAGAAATGACCGAGTGCTTCCTTGATGATCTTTGACGCTCTTTCGGATGCCGCTCACCGCGAGTCGCTACCTGGCTCAGGAGCCAAGTTAGAAGGGGTGTTCAAACACCCCTGGCCTGGCGCGGTTGGCGTCAAGCACCGGCCCGGCGCGGGTTAAACCAATAGAAATGTTGAGCGCAACCCTTGGGACAATCACAGAACTTCGCGCTAACAACCAGTGACTGAGCATTGGAATTGATGTACAATTATTGCCGTGAGCCGTCCATTTCGCATCATAACTAGTTCCGTTGCAACGTACCTAGGTAGTTTGCATCCTAACTAGTTAGTTTGCAAAGTAACTGGACGGTCAGCTAGTTTGCAACGTATAATTAGGTTGCAAACTACCTTGCCGGTCAGGTAGTTTGCAACGTAACTAGTTACGTTGCAACCTAACGGATTTCGCATACTAACTGTAACATATATACCTACTAAACAGAAGTACATGTGGAAGCGGATGTTCAGAGGCGCAGCGCGTGGCATGAGCTCTCTCGCCTACATTCTGACCGGGCATATATCAGTAATGCTGACCAGCCGGTAACATGCGTTCCATGTTAGATATCAGTGAATGGACCAAAGCCAACCATACTAGCTAATTGTTGCATCGCAGCATGAGTTTACACCTTTATATGCATTTCGTCACATGCTACTCAACTACTCATACTACTCACAACGGAGAGTGGGGCAAAGCAGCCACCCGGGGCAAAGCGGCCACCCATCGTTTTAACCCTCCACAACTGGCGTCAGTTCCAATTTATGGTTTTCCAATAATGCTTCTCTTCGCGGTCGTTCGAATGAGCCAGACCGGGGTTTCAGGCCCATCACCATTGTTCTGTGAAACACGGAAAAGTATTTCTTGCCAGGTCACCAACTATGTTTACAATTTTTAAATGCTATTTTATTCTATAACCGTTTGAAATTTTAATAAGCGTTCTTGTCCATGCATTGCATGGTTATCGTACATGTATTCTACCGATTTAAATGTCCTTTACCCCACTAATAGCTAAGCTGGAATATTTTTGTCTCGGACGGTATTCGCGGGGCAAAGTGGCCGGGGCGAAGTGGCCAGCCCCCAATTGGCTATAAGTTGTTTCCATCTGGATAAAGAACATCATTTATATTCAAATGTGTCGTCATGCATTCATCTTGGCCACTTTTCGGTAACATGAGTTACCAAATAATGCAATTAAATGTCTTTCCATGAAAATCCTTTCTTTGTTTACCTACATGTGGGAAGATGACAAAGTAAACATCCATCCTCGCTTAAACCTTGTCGCCATCAATTACCCTAGTCGTATACATGAAGCAACTATTCTCTTTCTCACATCGGGACTTGAGTAGTCGCCGGTGGCCGCTTTGCCCCAGGGTATGGGGCAAAGTGGCCAATATGCATAGGTTTAAAGTTTTGTCAATATCTCCCATATGTGAACGCCTTTGTAAATGAAACGCAGTTAAATTAAAAGGCAATTTAATCGGGATCACATTGTTATAGAAAGATTCTTTCCAAGTTTAAAAATCAAGCGTCGACATCGTAAGCAGCGTTAAGGTGGCCGCTTTGCCCCACTCTCCCCTACTCAACTTGTGTGCAAGAGTGGTCTCAGGACGGCGTAGACGTGAGCACGTAAGCGATGTACTGGCTGAGTTGAACTGGTTACCTGCCCAGGACCTCGTAATGTACCGCACATTGTGTTTAATCAAAGGCGGGCTGACCCATGGACAGCCGAGCGGCTCCGCTGGCCTGTTTCGTACCGCGCTGAGTGTGAGATCGAGGTCGGACCAGACAGGATGACCTTCTTGTTTGGCCACGAGTCAAAACCGAGTCTGGCAAGCGAAGGTTTGCCTATCGAGCTGCCAGCGCGTTCAATGCCATGCCGCGCGACATTAGGGAGACCCGCATATCGGCGTTCAGAGGGACCGTCAAGAAATACTTGAGCACGGCGCGGCGGTGAACGCACATATATGTACACATGCGGAGCTTTTATTGTGATCTTAGCACGCCCATTTTTGTTTTACATGTTTTAAGTGTTTTTTACCCATATCGTGTCTTTTACCGGTTTAGTCTTTTGCCCATATTGTTAGCGCGAGCACATGAGAAACCAGTGATTGTCTGGATGAGCTTTAAATATATTCTGATTCTGATTCTAATGCTTTGCCCTCGCCGCCATAGTGTACCTTGGGCTCGCGATAAAGAAGGTTTGGCTCTGTGTGCTAATAAATAATGCAATACTTTACCAATAAAGAGTGGACACAGAGCCAGGAGAAGCCACCTTCACGTTTGTGACGTCAAGCCTCGTCTATTACACCCTTTTGCCTAGAAAATGTCACTTCTGGATGTCACCCAATGGCCAAGGTCCGGTCCAAGCCGATCAGCCGATCAGGTGAAGAAGCATCTGAATGAGACCATTCTGCATGGCGTTCGGCTGCGCACTCAAAACTTCTTACTATCTCCTGGAGGGTTCATTTTTATCAAACCCGCTAGATAAGAGTATATTGAAAGGGTACCTCGATGCTACCATTATGTGCATGATAACGGTTCGTGGTTAATTGAAGCATTCCGCACCGTAAACAGTGTTTTCAATTGCTTCACGTGGAAAGAGAGAAAATAACCAAATGTCGTGTAACTGATTTGTAAAACGGCTAGACGATTAACACGCGTAGTCGAAGGGTTGCGAGTACTACGCCCAGTGGAAGGGGGGCGGATGTCGCCCCCCCCCCCTAAGATCTTGGCTTCCACTGGAGCTAGAAAGACGAAATTTGGAGGGTATGTGGGGGCCCTGGCAAATGTTCTGTTCTGCGCCCGCCGGATCCTCAGTCCGCACTGACACGACACGCACCGCTCTGCACATATATTGCCGGCTCGGACGGCACGCACACCTTGACGGCTCGCTCGACACTGCCCGCAAAATGGATGCTTCGTTAAGCGAAGCATCCATCAAAAGACGAGAACTATTGCGCGATACAACGAAATGCAGTTACAGTGACAAAACACAATGTTAATAAATCATGGATCCACTAACACAGCCAACAGGGGACAGAACCACGCCGACCCCGCCAACTACCCACGAAGCATCCAACTGGGGAAAGCCCGCTCGGTCCCGTGCACAGGGCGGCCACCGCCGGCTCAGATGAGTGATGTGAGTGTGTGTGCTGGAAGGTGGTGTGTGGCTGTGAGTGTGTATAATCGTACTTATGTCAATGTTACGTTGTGTTAGTAAATCGCCTGGTGTTTTGAATGTATGTTTGTAAGTGGTGAGCCACACCCACCATGCTTGTGACGTTTCTATTAAATAAAAGTACGCCAAGCTTACTTTTTCCTGAGAGATTATCAAAGTTTGGAACGATAGCCTGCATGACACCGAACAGTTGCGATCGGGCTGTTTGGTACAGAGGACAGTCCATTATGTAGTGAGTGGTTGTTTCATTTGGGTGACCGCAAATGCACGCTGGAGTAAGGACGTTTGGGTGTTGCGTTCGGAATTGGTGTGGCACGCCTGACCGCAGCGGATGACCAAACAGCGTCTGGGCTGGTGACCTGCCGTCGGCCCGTGGCGTGTTTCGCAGCTCGAGGAGACCTCGGTCGTGCTGATCGTCGTCCAGCCGTCCGCTCGCTGAGGCAGCCACGATTATTTTCTTCACCGTTTTCACGGCAGCCTCGGCGTGACCGTTGGATCTCGGGTACCGTGGGGATGACATCTCGTGGCGGACTCCCCACTGCACCGGTCCAGAAATCGCCGGAGCGTGGATGAGGCGAACTGCGGTCGCCGTCTTCCGCAGTACGGTGGGAACACCCGTCTGAGAGAACAGCCGCCGCAGCTGCTTCACGGCCATAGGCGGCGGAACGGGGGGGGGGCACGGGGACACCGTGCCCCCTTGAATTCTGCAAGGGGGCACCAATAGCAAGGTGCCCCCTTAAATTTGATGTATTAGTACCAGGGGCGGATTCGGGAAAACTCCAAGGGGAGGGTCATGGAAGTGGTGCCCCTACCTATACCCAAAATTAAAACCTCAACGGATTTCGGCCACTTAATTTTGGTGGTGCCCTATTTTCAGTTTTTTTTCTTTATTTTTGGTTAGTCATGTGATGACTGGTGCCCCTGCTAGGGCGCTGGTGCCCCTGGAAAGACTGTGGTACCTACCTACCCTGCCCCCTGACAAGCCTACGGTGGGCCCTGACATAACTTATGTGCCTATGGGCCCTGACAGGCCCATGGTGCCCTTGACAGGCCTGGGGTGTCCTTGCTAGGCCTGTGGTGTCCCTGGGCCTTGGCAGGTCTGTGGTGCCCCTGGCGAGCCTGTGCTGCCCCTGTTAGAACGCAGGTGCCCTTGACAGGTTTGTGGTGCCCCTGACTATCCTAAGGTGCCAACGACAGGCTTGTGGTGCCCTTGACAGGCCCATGGTGCCCTTGCAAGGCCGGTGGTTCCCCTGCGAAGCCGATAGTGCCCCTGGCAGGCCTCTGGTGCCCCTGGCAGGTCTGTGGTGTCCCTGGAAGACCTGTAGTGCTTTTGCTAGGTCGATGGTGCTCCTGACAGGCCTGTGGTGCCACTGACAGGCCCGTGGTGCCCCTGCTAGGCCTGTGGTGCCCCTGTCGGCTATCAGGCCTGTGGTGCTCCTGGCAGGCATGTGGTGACCCCAGGCCCTAAGTCATGACCCATGTGACCTCCCCCCTGGGATTCGCCACTGTATTGTATTGTATTGTATTCACTCAGCAGCACATTCCAATGTAAGCATGCACATCTGATGGGATGACACACAATTGGCTATTACTGTGCTTCGTCGAACAGTGTATAAACAAATAGGGACCAATATATTTACTGTAACAAACACATCACTCTCGCACGTATATCTACAGTTTACGTACTGATTAGTACTGCGATGGCTTCTTGGGAATTTGATACATGTAGGATAAATGGAATTTATCAAACGACAATAAGGAAGAAACAAACACATACCTAGGTACTTAAGGGTCAGCTTAAAGTTAACCACACATACCTACGTGGGTGAACTGCCATTTTCGATAAGAAAAAAAAAGAAAATAAAAAATCATCGTGTCAGGGCTGTGACGAAAAATAAGTGGCCTAAATCCGATGAGAAAACAGGATTTGGGGGTACCCTAGGTTTGGCTCCTTGAGCTGGTGCCCCCCCCCCTTGTCTAAAATCGTTCCGCCGCCTATCAGGTGGTCCGCCGAGGCCGTCCTGGGGCAGACCGTTACATACGGCCAGCCTGACAGTCTGTCCACGTACAGTCTGTCTTAAAAGTACCGCGCAAAGTGGCGGTGGATCCATCAAGCCTGACCGAGAAAGGGTCTGTTTTAATTTGAAAGTCACCGACCAATTGACCTAAGGAATGGACGAGGATGTCAATTGCTTCGGTGACCCAAATTTAGCACGCCCTTCCTCAGTCAGGCTCGATGGATCCACCGTCACTTTGCGCGGTACTTTTAAGACAGACTGTACACGAGGTAGGTCCGGCCGGCGACATAAAAATAATCTGCCGATACCGACTGGAAAACGCGGCTGAGGAGATCGTCTTCCACCCATAAGGGTTCATTGCTGTAACTGGCAGCGAGCTGCCTGCAGCTCTGGCATGCAGAGACGGCGTTGCATATGTTCCGTTCGCGTATTCGCCAAGTGTATTACACGAATCGGCCCACCAACTAGCGACATCTCTAGTGCGACGTCATAGCCATCCGACGCGACAATGCATGCATTGAGGCTAGATTTGAGTTGAGACTTTTGTTAATTGTATATGGATGCCAGTCAATCCACGTAGCCGAGTGGTTAGAGTCTCTGTGTGGGAAGCTGAAGATCGGTGGATCGATTCCTGCTTTAGCGGTTCTTTTCTCTTAAAAAGAAGTCGGTCGTGGACACGCATTTTTGGCCCCTTCGTTCGCACGCCAATATCGTACGCCCAATAAATCTATGACAAGTATTCATCTGATCAAGGAATAAGTTGCAAAAGAACTGCAGTTGCAGTCTGTACCTGAACTACCAATTTTGTTACGGCACTGTCGATATTCGTCAAAGTCGGAAGCTTTTGTGAAACGGGTTTAGGCTAACTTTTCGTTAGCCTAAACCCGATTTTCAATTTATTTTAATTTACCCTAACTTTTTGGATAGCATAAATTAAAACTAGTGTATTTTGATAGGAACAGCCCAGATCCGAGTTTATACTAACTTTGGAGCACGTTAGCCTAAACCAGATTTACCCTAACCCGGCCAATTAAACGATTCTGTTAGTTCATATTTTATCCACCAGAGTTTGCTTCATACTCAAAGGCCTTCCTCGTCCAGTAAAAGATCTGGCAGCGATGTGCCACGTCGATTTGGAAGCACGACTGAGCTACAATTTCGGCGCAGCTGTTTGCACGCCGGTATATCTTTGAGCGTTATTGGTGTTGCACGTGCAGTTTCAAGGATGGTGGTCGTTGTGTGTCTACAACAGGTAAGCTAAATATTGTTCTCCCTAATATATGATAGATCAGGTTAAGTAAACAGCCAGAAGAACTCCACCCACCCATATTGTTGTCACTTGTCTCCTTGTTTTGTTTTGTTTTTCCACCTACCTTCTTGCAAAAACTGCCTGTAGCTAGCTTGTGCCTGCCATGACATGACTAGAGTCCATACCGGTATCCCTTTTTGCTTTATCTTGGCGGCTATATAGTTGTGTGAAGATGGCGGATACTAGGCTCATGTGTTGTTAATGGTTACATCACTTTTCATTTTGAAATGAAGGAGCAGGGCATTCTTACAATTGTAAAACTAACCATACTTTGTTGGAAGCTGTTCTGTTAGGTTGTGCATCAGTTGGGTAAAGGACGAGGCTCAAATCCAAATATTGATCGACCAATGAAAGGTTGGAGTGGGCAGGGCCATGACCATGTAACGAAAAAATGGATGTGATTTTGTGCATCCTAGCTTTCAAATGAAAAAATAAGACATTAGCAAGTTGTAATTCACACAAGGCCTGTACTCACTCAGCGCACAATTAGCTGGCGGTCCTAATGAAGTAAGTTGTGACTCAAGGCCAACCGACGTTTGACGGCAATTGCTCGGATCGACAGAAACGTGCCAGAAAAAGTGAGTAATTAAGAGATGGTAAATAGTTATTATTTGTATTAATTTGTTTACAATATTGTTAATTTTAGCAAAATTAATTATTATTCAATAGTTAATATTTTGTATTTATTGTTTTAGAAATAAATTTCTAAACTTTTTTCATAGTGCCGATCCATTCATGGAATGGCCAGCTGATTGTCTGCCAAAGTGGACGCCCAGAACCTGCAAAAACATCGTCATTTTCGGCACGGTGACTATAAATATTTTCGGGTGAATGTGCGTACTTTTGTCAAGTATTACTCATTAACTATCATTCCTTTGGTAATGGAAGCTTTTTCTCTTCAGTGGGTGTACTCAATACCGCAAGTATTGTCCCGTTACACTGAAGGCACCCCGTCATAGCGGGGACTGCATTTATGCCCATATATGGTTATAGGTACAAGATCCATTTATTGATCGATCAATGTTTTTATTTCTGCCTCATAGTTTCCCCAATTGGCATGCTTCTTGTAAAACACTATTGGCAGTGCTGCTAGCAGGTGGCAAAGAAAAATGATGAAGCTAACCACACACAAAAATACAGCCAAAATAATGACTGTTTTTTATGCAAAGCATGCTAAAAGACAATCAGGAAATTGATTTTTTATGGAGGCAATCTGGTGTCAGAATCAAACTATTGATTCCACAAACATTAGTTTGTGTTTTATTTTTGATAGTTTGGCTATTAACAAAATTGCATAGGCGTAGGAACAGGAGGGGCCAGGTGGGCAAGTGCCCACCTACTTTTTTAGGTGGGGGGCCGGGGGCTTCAGGGCCTCCTGTAAGGGATTTTCGCTGGGGGGGGGGGGGGGGGCAGAGGCTCATGGAGCCAAACCTAGGGTTCCCTCAAATCCTGTTTTCTCATCGGATTTAGGCCACTTATTTTTAGTCATAGCCGTGACACGATTATCTTTTCTTAACTAAGAAAAATAAAAATAGTAGCCTATCTTATCCATGCTTTGATATTTATTTGTAACCCTTTCACATTGCCCGACCAGGTGGTTACAAAAATGAAATACAAAGGAAATACGAACCTCCCAATTTTAATGCTATCTTGCTCAAAATTGTGCGCTGAACCTGAATCCCCTGTCAGCATTTGGGGCCTGGGGGTAGGTCTGGTCAGGTAAGCTCAGGTCAACCAGTGTCCAGTAGCTAGCCTAGGTGTCATGCCAGGTAGCCACAGTAGGTGTCAATTACCACTGAAAGGG